AGGAATAGAAGTTAATAAAAAAGAGTACAAGTTAAGAGCTTTTGCAGATGACTTGGTGGTTACTTTATCTCAACCTACCTATTCTGTAGTTAACTTATTACAGCTGATTCGTCAATATGGACTTGTTTCGGGCTTTAAAATTAATAATAATAAGACTAAAATATTAGCTAAAAATATGACTATTCAGGACAAACAGACTTTGGCTGAGTTGACTGGTTTTGAAATTGTTGATAAGACAAAATATTTGGGGGTCACTTTATCTGTTTCTAATGCAAAATTGTTTAAGAATAATTATGAAAGGCTGTGGGCCAGTGTACAGAAGGACTTGAGGAATTGGGAGAAGTTACAGTTATCTCTCATGGGACGAATTGCAGTGATTAAAATGAATGTCCTGCCCAAATTTCTCTTTTTGTTTCAAATGTTACCTATTTTAAAGAACGAGGTTAATTTGAATGAATGGCAGAAAGGTATTAACAAATTTATTTGGGCAGGGAAAAAACCAAGGGTAAAGTTTAAAATTATGCAGGACTTCCGTGAGAGAGGTGGACTCAAGGTACCGAATTTGAAATTATATTATGATGCAGTGGTTTTTACATTAATTAGTGATTGGGTAAACTTAACAAATTCAGAGATACTCCATTTGGAGGGATGGGATTTACTTTTTGGTTGGCATGCCTATTTAATATTTAATAAAAAAGTGGATCGGGCTTTTAAATCTCATATTTTAAGGATTTCTCTACTTAGAGTCTGGAGGAAATATTATAAAAGTGATTTTAAAATACCATTATGGGCCATACCTTGGCATGCGATAGAGGGGATAAAGAGAGGTGTTAAAATGGATACGGTGTCTTATACACAATTACTTAGATGGGATGGTCTAAATTGGCAGTTAAAATCTTTGGAAGATTTGTTACATGAAAATATTACCTATTCTTGGTTTCAATATAGACAACTATTAGATAGATGGAAGATGGATCGTAATTTAGGTTTGCTTAGAGAAGATCAAAATCTTTTCAAGCAAGTAAAGGATCAAAGACAAACTCATATTAAAAGAATTTATGGGGTGCTAGTGGAACTGGATTCAGAATCAGAATTAATTAAAGATTGTATGATTAAATGGGCGCAGAATTTTGGTGAACCAGTTCTAGTGGATACCTGGGAAACTATCTGGGTGAGAAATGTTAAATTTACACAAGCCCAGAATTTAAGGGAGAATTTTTATAAAATGTTTTATAGATGGCACCTTGATCCACAAAAGATGTCTCTCATGTATCCTGACTTACAGCCTAAATGTTGGAGATGTGGCTGTTTGGATGCCACTTATTATCATATTTGGTGGTCGTGTAAAAATATAAAAGCTTTTTGGATTAAGATATGGTGGAATATTCAGAGAATTTTTAGAAAGAGGGTAAAATTTACTCCACAATTGTTTTTGCTTGGTATTGTTACTGATTGTGATGCTAAGGAGGTTATATTGATGTTGAATTTGATTACAGCCGCAAGGCTACTAGTAGGTCAATATTGGAAGAAGGAATCTTTGCCTACTTTGCAAGAGTGGTTTTTTAAAGTATCTTATTTGGCAGAAACGGCAAAGATTTCGGCTTTCTTAAAAGAGCAAATGCAAGAGAAATTTTTTGCTGTATGGGAAAAATGGATAAATTTTATACAATTTAAATTGGATATGAAAAAATATCATTTAGCTTTTTTATAACTTGTATAAAAACTCTACTTTTTTTTCTTTGCTTTTTTTTTAAAAAATATTTTTTCTTTTTAAGGTTTATAATTCTTTATTCATATATATTTTGTTCTTAATTATCTTATAATTTTGTTAATTTCTTTTAATTAAGCCTATATTCTGCTCTGGGAAGCTGGGGGGGGAGGGAGGGGGTGATTTGGGAGGGGTTGGGGGAGGGTTGTATTGTTTTGTTTTGTTTTTTTTTGTCTTACTGTAGTTGTCCTTGTTTTTTTTTCTGTCTTTGTAAAAGTTTTTAAAAATTTTCAATAAAAAAAAATATGTATATCTAAATTGCCTTGCATATCCCGAAGGAGGATCCCTAAAAATGTCTGTGTGGGTTAAATTAGGAAAGTATTTTCATGAATGACCAGGATGTGTAAAACTAAGACTTCTGTTTGCTTGTCTTTGTGTATATATGTTTGTCAAAGTCTGTGCGTGAGAGGTAAATGTGACTGTTAACTGTTTCAAATCCAAAGGAAAAAGAATTTTAAAGTCTGCTAGAAATTCTGCTTAAAATAAGCCACAAAAAGGAAAAACCCCACTCTGTTTGGGATTGTTTTAAGTTTATCTATTGGAAAAGTTTCACTTGCATTTACTGTATGTGTTTTATCTATCCTTTTCCTGAAAAATGTCTGTCTATCTACAAGAGCCTTTTGAAACTCAAGTCTGCTTGTGTGGGGAAATAATTTTTTAAAGTTACTTTTCGTATCCTATCACTTATTGGTGATGCTACTATGAAACTTTTCTTATCCCAAATATATAAGCATTTCTCAATCTCTAAAATGATGTGGTCTATTTTAGAATAAATGTTCTCCTACCCTTGGCAAGTTGCACACCTTAAAATATTAGGCTTTTAAAATTATTTGGAGTTTTTAGCATTCTCAAGCTGCCTAGCATTTTTTTTTCCTTCTAAGTTGCAAGTTCTTGTCCTTAATATGTTGGAAATGGTCAAGTTCAAAGGTGAAACATTTCATTTTGTTGTTCCCCATTTGTCTATGTTTAATAACTGCAGTATTAATGCCCTTTTCAAACTGCCTGCAAGCTACCCCCCTTCCAATTCTTTTCCTGTCCTTTGTTCTCCATACCTTTTGTCTGCCTCTCCTGGTAGAGTCCACCCAGAAAGGGGGGGGGGAGAGACCTTGTTCTTGTATCTTTCAGCCCTGCAATCCTCTCCCAAACCTTTGGAAGCAGAACACACAGACCCAGATGCTGCCTCCATCCATTTGAGCCATGGAATTGGGTTTTGAATCCAGCCATCCACTAAAAAGCCACCATGCAATCTGAGTGGAAAATCTTCCCAAGTCCTACCCTTTACCCAGATGCCTGTGAGAGCTGCAGGTGGTGCCATGTGAAGCCTCAGAAGAGAAAATTAAGACTATGGGGGGGAGGGTGGAAACTCATTGTAAACTTTTCTTTCTTGCCCCATTTGTATTGTAACAAGCCAGTTGAATGTATTAATGGAGAGATGGCATTTAGGAATAGGTGGCAGAACGAGTACTGAACACCTTGGACTTCTATCTGGCGGGAGGGAAAATTTATCCAGAATGTTTGTATTGACTATTTTGTAAAAGTGCACACACACACACACCATTCAGAATCATACTTGAGTCCCCTCCACCTACCTTTAGTAAAGTCCCCCCCCAGGCTGATTTTTGCTCTATTGCACCAAAGCTTTGTGGGACCAACTTCCAACAGATAACAAGGGGGAGGGAACTAGGCCCCCTCAGGTGATTTGCAATTCATATGCCCTGACTAAGGAAGCAACAGGAAAAATCCCAAACTTCAGCCCTGAATATCTTGCACTGTTGAGCTCAGATTGGGATTCCTAGAACTCATTATGTGCAATTTAAAGAAAATTTAATAGACTGGCATATTGGACATTACAAACCTGGATGCACTGAATTAAGAGCTAAGGCAGGAAACAACCCTTGAAATTGGGCAGCCAGTGGTCATGTACTAAGGAAAACCATGGCTGTGAAGAATTTTGGGAGGTATGCAAACCTGACTGGAAGCTAAAGGTGACATCCAACATTTGAAAATGATTGGCACAGAATATTGGATACTATAAATTTCTTTTCCACCTAACAAAATTTTGCCCTGACTTTTAGAACTTTATGGGTGCAAGCTCCCCTTTTGGGAGCCACTAAAGGGATCTTTTTCTGCTGCCTCCATTAATGTCTTATTTTTCTTTTTCTTTTTTTTGCTTAACAGTTTAAAAGCTTGCCTACCAAGTCTCCCTGACCAGATCAATTTTAATGTCATACATTTACACACTTAAGGCACAAAGTGGGGATATTGATGGAAGTTAGCCCCCCCAGAAGGAAATATTAAAAAGGGGAGAAAAATATATTTTTCCTCAAAAATACTTTTTAAAACCAAACCTGGCCCCAAATCTATCTCTCTGCCCCAAGCAAGAGCTAGGCCCATACAAATGCAAATGTAACACCATCAAAAAGTTGAAGCCAGAGCAATCAAGAAGACAAAAGAGAAGATCTGCATACCCCACCCAAACTCTAGGAGTCAGCCCCATCACCTGGGAAGCAGGATATGATAATAGAATTAAACCACAGATATCAAGGCCTAGACAAATACTCAGAAACAGCCTCAAGGTTCATGCCACAGGAACAGGAAACTATTCCAAACAAGGCTAGAGGGGGTATAAAAGCCTACTGCCCCCATGTGCTCTCTCTCTCTCTCTCTGCCCTTCTCTCTCCTCTGCACTTTCCTGAAGAACCACCTTTCTGCAATAAACTGTAATCCTCAGGAACTGTCACCCATCAACAGGTCAATTTAGTAGCTACACCTATCACTGCAGTTCAGCACCCCTGCTAACTAAACCAGCCTTCACTTTGCCAAGCGACACTGAGGATGACTTCGTATAAAATGCAACCTCCTTATTTTAAATAAAACAAAAGTAGGAGATGTTGGAGTTATTGGGTTATCTGGCCTGTTAGGCTGAGTCATCAGCTGCAGTAGGCCAAGGTATGAGGAAGTCGGAAGTAAAAAAGATTGGAGTAAACAACATGCCGTGCAAAGGAATGTGTTTTGGTCTTTTGTTGGTGCCGGGTGTAACAGCTGTATAGTAGCATGTGCAAAACAAAGCTAGCACATGTAATATGCTGTGTCATAACAAATGTGGTTGGTGTAAGGTGGTCACCAGGTGCATATAAACCCGCCTTCTGATAACACAATAAAAGGGATGCTTCGGCTTTGTTTGAGGCTCCCATCCTGAGGAAACCACGTGTACGTGTCTGTTCTTCAACACCCATGGGAGACTGCTGGGCGCGAGAAAACCCACACTCCCGCCTTGCTCACCTACGCACACGAAGTGCTGTCCCGTGGCTCCGATCCCCCGGGCAAACAGCACCATCCCTGAGGGGGGCAGAAGGCAGAGGTGAGTGGACAGGATGCACCCCCCCCCTCCGCACACAGCCCCTCTGCTCCCACCGAGGCTTCCACGAATTCAACAGGTCAGGCCCTTTGGACAGCTCCAGGAAGACCCTCCCAGGGGAGCCGTACCCGAGGGCTTTGGATGGCCCCCACTGGGCGCTGCTTCCGGGGGCATGGATGCCCTGCGGGAGGGGGGCGCCTGGTCCTAGGTTCCTGAGTGGGAGGGGGGAGCGCCCACGGGGGGGGTGGGTGAAGGTACCTGCCGAGGCCTCCATGCCGTCCAGCGCGTGCCAGTAGACCATGGCGGAGCCGTCGGGCTCGTACATCTGCCGGGAGAGGCGGAGGGGCAGGTTGGGCGCAAGTCCCCCCTCCCCCCGGCTCCACCCCCGCCCCGATGCCCCCGGGGCTCACCTGGACGCCCTTCCACGAGGCCAGCACCAGCAGCGTCCGCGAGGGCAGCGCGCACCAGGCCGCCTGCAAGAGGGCAGCGTTTCTGGCGGGGCTCCGGCCGCTTCCCTCCCCGCCGGCCTCCCCTCACCCCCCCGCGCCGGACCTGCGTGACGAGGGGGGGCCCGAGGCCGCCCTGCCGGGCCTGCAGCTGGCGGTGGGCGCAGGCCGCCCCGTCCGCCGCCGCGCTGACCAGCCCGACCGAGGCGCCCTGCACGCTGGCGAAGTAGGTGAGGCGCTTGGCCGGCAGCGGCAGGACGCTCAGGTTGTTGTAGAGCGCCAGGCTGCTCCCGCGCAGCGCCAGGCCGCGCTCCGCCCGCCGGTACATCGCCGCCGCTCCGCCGCTGCTGCTGCAGCTGCGGCTCCTCGCCCGGCCCGCGCGCAGGCGCGGAGGGGCGGGGCGGTCGGAGAGGCCGTTGCCGGGAGACGGCGTCGCAAGGAAGGGGCGGCGGCGGGGGTGAAGAGGCGGCGGGCGGGATGGCGTCCCGCGACCGCGTGGCTCAGGCCAAGTCCCGCGCGGAGCGGTCGCGCCCGCCCACGGTGCCGGTGCCGCAGGTGGAGATCGTGCCGGGGCGGCTGTCGGAGGGCGAGTGGCTGTCGCTGCTGGCCTCCGAGGAGGCGGAGGACGCGGTGGGCGACCTGCTGGCGGCGCTGCTGGACCAGGTGCTGGGCGGCTGCTACAAGGTCTACCTGGCCCGGCAGGTCAGCGCCGGGGGGGGTCTCCGGGGTAGGGGGGAGGCGCGCCCCTCCCCCCGCCTCTCCGCTCTAAGCCGGGCGGGGGGAGGGGGAGGGGCCGGGAGGGGCTTCCCGGGAGCCCCCCTGAGCCGCCGCCGCCGCCCCCCCGCAGCGCGTGCCCTACGTGATCGCCCAGGCGCGGGAGGCGATGCTGCAGATCGTGGAGTGGCGCTTCCTGGCGCGGGACGCGGGCGAGAGCGACGTGCCCGCCGACCCGGCCTGGCAGGAGGACGAGGAGCCGGCCGCCGCCGTCCCCGACTCCTGGGCCCAGGGCTCCGTGCCGCTGCTGCAGACCGTGCCCAGCCCGGAGGGGGAGGTAGGCGCGGCGCAGCCGGGTGGGGCCGGGCCCGGAAGGGCCGGGCGGGGAGCTCCTGGGTCTGCCCGTCCGGCGCTCCGAGGGCGCTTCGGCCCGGCGGGTGCGGGGAGGGTTCGGGCGGGGCGAATTCCCGGGCTGCCCTGCCGATCCCCTTCCTCCAGGTGCCCGCAGGCAAAGCGCCGTCGGGGGAAGCGCCCATCCTGCCGGGGCTGCCGGGCGAGGAAGCCACCGAGGCCGAGCTGCCGCTCCCGTGGGGGGAGGAAGCGCCCCCGGAGCCCTTCCTGCTGGCGACCCAGCCCCCCAGGCCAAAGTCGCGCAGGCGGCTGCCGAAGGGCCGGGCTGAGTCCCCACCGGCGCCCAGGGCGGCCCCTGCCCAGCCGCCCTTCAAAGGCCGGCCGCCCCCTTGCGGACCGTCCCTGCCCTGGGCCGGCGCGCTGGCCAGCAGGAAGAAGATGGTCTCCGAGCAGGAGCAGCTTTGGCGGAAGGTGCCCCAGGGGCCTCTGGAGAGCAGCTCCCTGAGGCTGCTGGGCAGCACGCAGCCCCTGCTGCCTTCCTCCTGCAGCAACCTCCTCCGGATCCAGATGGGCCGCCCTCCCAACATCAAGGATGTTTTCTACGACGAGATGGGCAACGTCACGCTGGTGCCTCAGCTGGAGCCGGCCCGCCTGCCTAAGCGGTGGATCAAGCCCACCGTGGAAGTGGTGGACCCCTACGTGGAGTCTAGGCGCCAGGAGACCATGAAGATGGTCTCGGGCCGCTGCAAACGGCCCCGTCCCCCTAGAGGCCCTGCCGCAGCCAAGCGGGCCCCCGTGGATCGAAGCAGCCTCCTGGCTCACGCTGGGCCGGAGCCGGAGTGCCCCTCGGAGGCAGCGCAGGAGGCCCGCCGGGAGCAGGCGGCCTATTCTCCTCTTCCACCAGGAAAGACCCTCGAGCCCACCAGCTTTGTGTTTGTCAAACCCACCGTGCTGGTGGAGACGGTCGACCTGGCCCCGGGAGTGAGCCTCCGCCGTGGCGGGGCTGGCCCTCTGAACGATCACTTGCAGCCTGTGGTCGGGGCAGAAGAAGTCACGGAGGCGGGTGGGTCCTTTCCCAGCAGGGCCAAAGGGCTCTACCTTCAGGAGCCCCTGCTGCTGCCGCACTTGTGCCCCAGAGCCGTGCTGGGGTGAGGTGCTCACCGGCCACATCCCAGCCTTATGCTGTCCTGAAATAAAATGGATGTTGCCACTCACACCTTTGGCTTTTCTACAAACCCCCGACTCTGGCTGATAATGGATTGGGGGAGAGGATCCCCACCGACCTCCACCCACATGCGTTTCTGTGGTTACCTTGCAGAAGAGTGACGTTCTGTGTGGGACCAGTGCCCCCCCTTTGCAGCAGAGGGATTGGCCAGCACACAGCTGCACCTTGACTGAAAAAGCCACCCCAAAGATGCCTGGTGCCGTTCGACAGGCTCCCCGTGACACTCTGGGTGGGAAGCCCTCCAGCATCGGTTGGGCTGGGCCATCCACTGATGGGGCCGTGGAAGGGCAGTTCCCCACTCTTGCCGGGGAGGGTGAGAGAGGCAGAGAAGGCTGCTGTCATTTTTATTGGAAGATAGTCTGGAAATAACGCTGAAACCTGGAGGGCCAAGAAGTGAAAAGGAAGTTGTACAGATATTTCTCTGTTGGCTAGACGTACACACTTTCATTTTCTTCGCCTGCAGAAGTCCCCGTTTGTGACATTTGGTCACAACGAGCAGCACCGGTGGGAACTTTGGTGGGCGAGGGTGGCTCTAGTTGGGCCATACTAGAGCATTTCTTGGCTCTCATGGTCGTAGGATTGAAAAGGGTTTTGGGCAGTGGCCGCCAGTGGCTGACCTGTTCAGCAGAGTCCTGCAGAGGGGCGCCCCTGAAGAGCCCAAGCAGGACGGGTGGAGGGTTCCAGCAGCTGTCTGCGTTTCTTGGGACAGCTCCCACTGGTAGAGGTTTTTCTTTTTTCCAAAACAAGTTTGCCTCGGTTGTCCTCCGTAAGCCGGTAAGAAAGGGGAGCTGAAACCCCAGGAAATCTGGGGGAGGGGAGGAAGGAAGAGGTGGGTGGCAGAGAAAACTGCCCTGATGGACACAGGAAATTGCCCTTAGAAACTGATGATGCTCTCTCTGTCTCTCAAAATAGCGGGATGGGCTTACACTGGCACCAAGTAAAAGCTGTTCACACTTGCTGAAAACACTTTTTGAGTATAAATAATGCCCCTCCATAGCAATAAAAAGATTGCAGACAATTGTGGGGCATTTTGAACAAAATAGTGTGATCTCAATAAATGCCCCACACTTCCCAGAGAAGTGAAAAAAAAAACTTGCTCAATCAGTTGTTCTGTTGCTAACTGCCAGGCATGGGCTCCGGAATGTTTGGCAAATACCAAGATTTCAGTTTTAGAATAACTTACCTTTACCACATCCTGTGATCAGGTTGCATTTTGAATGAACACCTAAAAGAGAAGCTGTTTAGAGAAGCTAGCTGTTCCTATTTACACTTGCAAGTTGTGAGATAACCAATTTTCTGCCCTAACCCCAACTGGACAGTTGTTTACCTCTTCTGTTGTGGCAGGTGCCCAATACCTGCTAGACCAGTGGTGGTGAACTTATGGCACGGGTGCCAGAGGCAGCACTCAGAGCCCTCTTTGTGGGTACACGCACCGTTGCCCCAGTCCTAGGCCTTCGGCTGGGTTTTATAAAATCTTTTTGCTTTAGGTCTCCATCATCATGTGCAAAAAAAAAAAAAAAAGGTTCAATCAATCAATTTCAACTTCTCACGGAAAAAAAAAGATCTTGCAAAGTTGTAATTGATTGATTGAACTTTTTAGTCCCACCCAGTCTGCCATTACCACTGCAGCCACGCCCACCTGGCACTCGATGATGCATAAGTGGGTTTTGGGTTGCAGTTTGGTCACTCAATCTCTAAAAGGTTCGCCATCACTGTGCTAGACCGTTCAGCCTCATCTTTATGCGACCTCAGCAAGTCCGGGTGTGGAGGGTCAGGGGGCTATCAATGAAAGGACCCCTCTGTGAGTGGAATCCTGGAGACTCTTATGCTGTTTTGGGCTCGCTGTGGCCGGCCTGGGAAGGACCCCGATGCGGTTAGTAACTAATTTGGGAGAATTTTATTAAATACCATCCTGTTTATTTCCATCCTGCCACCTCCTATAATGTTCCCCTGATTCAATGTCTGAGCTGTTAATTCTGAATTAGCTGACAGCTCAAGAATTTCTGGAGAGTGCAAAAGTAGGCTTGAAACTCAACATTAAGAAAACCAAAATCATGGCATCCAACCCTCTCAATTCCTGGCAAATAGATGGGGAAGAAATGGAGGTAGTGACAGATTTTATTTTTCTGGGCTCAAAGATCACCTCAGATGGGGACTGCAGCCAAGAAATTAAAAGACGCTTGCTCCTGGGGAGGAAAGCTATGGCAAATCTAGACAGCATACTAAAAAGCAGAGACATCACCCTGCCAACAAAAGTGCTTATAGTCCAGGCCATGGTTTTCCCAGTTGCAATGTATGGCTGTGAAAGTTGGACATAAGAAAGGCTGAGCGCCAAAGAATTGAGGCCTTTGAACTATGGTGCTGGAGAAGACTCCTGCGAGTCCCTTGGACTGCAAGGCGTTCAAACCGGTCAGTCCTAGAAGAGATCAACCCGACTGCTCTTTAGAAGGCCAGATCCTGAAGTTGAAACTCAAATACTTTGGCCACCTAATGAGAAGGAAGGACTCACTGGAGAAGGGCCTAATGCTGGGAAAGATTGAGGGCAATAGAAGAAGGGGACGACAGAGAATGAGATGGCTGGATGGAGTCACTGAAGCAGTAGGTGTGAACTTAAATGGTCTCCAGAAGATGGTAGAGGACAGGAAGACCTGGAGGAACGTTGTCCATGGGGTCACGATGGGTCGGACACGACTTCGCAATTAACAACAACAAGAATTTCTGAAAACAAGCACTTCCTCCTCTTAACCAATAGACCACACAAAGTTTGTTTTAAACCAGCCAGTGGGTGTGATAACCTTGTAGTATCTTACAGTGTTTTTATTAGAGGATGCTACTGCCCTATAGACAGGAATTTTTTAGGTGCAATTTTCCTGCACTCTGTGTTAAACTTTTAATGCAGAATTTTTGTAAAGTTTGCATATTAATAGAGTCAGTGTGAATCTTAGGTATTTTTTTCCAATTTGCACACATCCTAGATCTAGAAATAAAACCAAATGCAACTCTGAAATCAATAAAGGCAATAAATCAATAAAGGCAATATATAGGGCTGACCCAGCTTTACGTTGCACAGTGACAATCGGAACCCTGATCAAGGGAGGATCTACGGCAGGGGTAGGCAACCTTGGTTCTTTTATGACAGCACAGCTGGCTCAGGAATTCTGGGAGTTGAAGTCCACAAGTCATAAAAGAGCGAAGGTTGCCTACCCCTGCTCTAAGGCCTGCTTGCTCATCCGCCAAGACCATATGTTTTCTGACCAGTCTGGACTGGTGTGAGTGGACGTGATCTTAGCTCAGGATCATCCCACGGGATCCACCATTCTTGATATCTACTAATCGAGAAAGTTCCTGACTTCTAATCATTTCTTTAGTGACCGAAGTTAAAACAGCACTGAAAAAAGTGACTTATCTTAACAATCATTGCAGCGTCCCTGGATCAAGGATCAAAATTTGAATGCTTGGCAGCTGACTCATCTTTATGACGGTTGCCGTGTTCCTGGGGGATCAAATGATTCCCTTTGGTGATCTTCTGACAAGCAAAGTCAACGGAGAAGCCAGATCCACCTAACCACCCTGTTACTAACTTTACATTGATTCACTGAGCAACTGTGCAAGGAAGGTTGTAAAATGGCAAAACTCACTTAGTGACTGCCTTGCTTAGCAGTGGAGATTTTGGATTCTGTTGTGCTCGTAAGTGGAGGACCAGCTGTAACTTCAGCAGTGACCAAATGAGTCGGTTGGGCTGAGGCCATGTGTGAGCTTTTGAGTGGAGCGTGGGGGCCCCGACCAGCCTCAATGCCCCCCAGAAGCTCCCCTGGCCAGGCCTGGAGGGATCCCACTCTGCCTCAAGACAGCCCCTCCTCTGGCTCCGGCCCTGCTGGGGGGAGCAGAACGGAACACCAGGGAACCACGTGTTCTGCCCCAGCCTGCGTGAGTCCTTGTTAAGCTCACAGGGAGAAACCCCTCTTCCAACAAGCAGGCTGGAACCACAGGAAAAAGAAACTTTTTATTATTTACAGACCTGAGTAAAATGCCCAAAGGCAAAGGCAAACAAAACACAATTCACTGAAACTCGATTCCTTAACACAAACGGTTGCCTTTGGCAACCAGTACTTCCCACACCTTCCCTTTTCTTATGCAGCCCAAGGCGTGGCTTCCTAATGCCTTCTCCTTTGCCTTTGGAGCTGTCCCATTGCATTCTCTTTGCCTGTCGGTTTAGGAGCATCCTGGATGTCTTCCCACTGTGAGTTATCACTGTCCCAGCACAGCTGTGTCTCAGCCTGAGTGCAAGAGGGGGGCCAGGCTCCTCCTCAGACTGTAAGTCTTGGAGCTCATCAGAGCCCCACTCCAGGCCCCTCCTCCTCCTCCTCCTCTGATTCCCCAGACTCAGCTGCCGGGTCCACTGGCTGACGAGCAATCACAACATAATGGCCAGAAGGGACCTCGGGGGTCTTCTAGTCCAGCCCCCTTCTCAGGCGGGAGACCCTATAACCTCTCAGACAAGTGGCTGCCAACCCCCTCTTCTTACAAACTCCAGTGTTGGAGCATCCACAACCTCTGGAGGCAAAAGCCTTTCCACTGATTAGCTGTCCTCACTGTCAGGAAATTCCTCCTTGGTGCTAGGCTGGATCTCTCCTTGATGAGTTTCCATCCTTGTTTCGTGTCCTGCCTTTGGTGCTTTGGAGAATAGGTGGACCCCCTCCTCTTCTTTGTGGCAGCCCCTCAAATATAGAAAAACTGCTATTATGTTGTCCCGGTCTTTCTCTTCACTAGACTAGATCTACCCAATTTCTGCCACCGATGTTCACATGTTTCAGCCTCCAGCCTCCTAATCATCTTTGTTGCTCTTCTCTGCACTCTTTCCAGAGTCTCAATGTCTTTTTTACATCGTGGCGACCAAATCTGGATGCCGTATTCCAAGTGTGGCCTTACCAGGGCCTTATTAAGGGCTTTTAACACGTGATCTTGATTCTGTCCCTCTGTTCATGCAGCTGAGCATGTGGCGCCTCTTCCGCCTCTCCCGGATCCCATCTCTTCCTTCCTCCAAGGAAGAAGGGCTTCAGGGGCAGCCCCTTCAGTCCCCCCTTTCCTCACTTCAATCCAGGAAGGACCCCTTTGGCTTCCCTTGGGAGAGTCTCGCATCCTGTCTCTCCCCCCCCCCCAAAAGGTCTGGCTGTGCTGCTCTGCCTTGACCTTCTTCCCTTGGGAAGTTTTTATCTCCCGTCCTTGGAGAGGAGGCTTGGCAGGCTCCCTTCTCCCTCAATAATGCGCTGTGGCCTTCTAACTGCGGAGGAACAATATATTCATCTTTGAAGCCCCTCTGCGAATTTTATGTCCAGGCTGCATTTTGCTACTTCATACAAAATAAATAACCCGAAAGATCCAGACTTGACTTGAAAAGCCATTCAAAAATGTCTCATTCTCATCAAAGGCGGAATGAGAGAACCAAGGGGCTGAAGAAGCTTCTTGGATGAGAAGCGAAATGTCTTCAGAGGAAAACAAGGAAGTCCAGTTGCTGCCTGAGAAAGAAGCACCTTTAGGACAACCAGGACCCCGGAGGGCCGAGAACCTCCGTAGACATTGAGAACGAAGGGCACTTACCTCTAATTCCTAGGAACTGGGAGCCACAGAGTCACCATGATGGATCTGGCATCTCAAGGACTGAAAAACGGGGCACCTGATGCCCCCTTCTCTTATTTGGAGCACCCCCCTCTGAGCCCCAGTGGTGCTCCCCCAAGCCCCGGCCAGGGTGCAGGGTGACTGGGGGATATCTGGAAGCTTCGTGGGAGGCTCACCATTGTTTATTGCCTCGCTGTTTACTGTTTTGCTGTTTTCATTCTGTTTGCTGCCCAGAGTTTCCGCTGGTGATGGCCCTGCAGTAAATAAATAAATAAATTGATAGATACATGTTCTATAGGAATTGCCACAAGTTGTTGCCGCTATGTGCTCTCAGCCTTGGACCAGCCCTTCCTCCCCCCCCCCCACCTCGCTGCTGCAAGTCATGGCCTGTACAGCAATTTCCTTTATTTTCCATTTCTCCAGAGCTTGGCCTTGGAATTTGTTTTGACAACCTTAAGTTACCAGGGAAGGTTTCCAGCTCCTCCGTCTTATTGCTAGCAGTCCTTGCTCAGTTTTCTGCTGAAATCATTTGCACTATTAACAAAGAGTTTCTGGCCACAAAATCCAGGACTTTAGATCTGAGTGAGGCAAGTGGGCTTCTCCCTCTACGTTGGTCCCCTCCCCAAAGGATTAATTCCTCACTTTCCCAATCCACCGGGTGAATTGCTAACTCCTTCAAGGGCAGTCAGTCTCTAAGTTGCTCAAGGTTTCTGAGGCGCCACAGTGACCCACAATGCTTCCTGCAATTTTTGTTTTGTCTGTTGGCTTTTGGTATTGCTACTCATTTGCAATCTTCTTTTATAGGGCTTATAAAATCTGAAAATTAGAAAAATTAACAAAGATAAAAGGTGCGCACCCTTTGCCATATTGATTCCTCCCGTAAGGTGGGCCAGTTTTCACCAGGAGCTGCATTTTGTCTACCGTGTTTTCCCGAAAGTAAGACCTGGTCTTATATTATTTTTGCCTCCAAAAGAGGCATTAGGTCTTACTTTTGGGCGGTGTCTTATATTTTTCATGACACCTGCCTCGCCCTGTGGTGGCGGCACCAATAGTCCCATCTAGCAGGAGCCTGTATCGCTGCTGGCCCACTTCTGCTGTGGCCGCTCACGCTAGGAAGCCGCGCGGCACACATCACACTACTGCCGTCACTCAGAGGCAAGGCAGGTGGGGGAGGGGGTGAAGCTGCCCCACGTGCCACGCACCCGCTTCCTTCAGGGCCCCCCCAGCCCAGGCCATTCCTTGCTGTGTTCCCCACTCGCCTCGCCTCGTGGCGGCAGCAGCACAATGTGCCGCGCAGCCTCCTGCCCCATTAAAGCAGCCAGGTGGGACAGAATGGGCTTATTTTTGGAATAGGGCTTATATTAGGCCCATCCCCACAAATCAGGGTAGGCCTTTTTTTCAGGGAAACCCGGTATTAAGTCTGAAATGGGCCCAGCATGTTCTTTTCACACTCAATAAATGCATTCTGTATAGTGGGAACATTGGTGCAGTGGTATTGTAGGAGTGCAACATAACATAACCTGGGGCGGAGGGTCTCAGGGTGGAGGTCACCCGGCCCTGATCTCTCTGAGCCAGCCTGGACTTCTCTGCCCTCGCTTGCCTTTCTCCAAGGAGCTAGTCTCACCTCCTCCAGCTGGTAAAACGGAGAAATGCTCCCTTTGCTAGCTGGAGGTCCCAGCAACGCACCTTACGTCCTTGGGAGGCCTCCTTGCAATCTGGTTTACCCTGAGCCAGAAATAACAATAACAATAACTTCTCCTCCCCTCCTCCCCCCTCCCCTTCCTGCCCTGTCCAGCTGGCCTTCCCAAGGTTCCCCTGCATGGCTTCTGTCCAAGAAATGGGCAGGCTGTTTGTTGAACGTGGACTCTGCCCAGAGAAGAGCCGCTTTGGGGCCCTTCCCCTTTCTGAACGCCAGAGGTCTTTCTTCAGCTCGGATCTCTAGCTCGGTACCCATCTTCCAGGGCTGCTGCTGGAAAGAGCCTGAGATGGAGACGGCCGCTCTCCTTTCCCACCCGCTCTGGTTCATCTGCTCCTTGGCCCTCCTGGCGCTGCTGTGGGTGCGAGGAAGAAAAAGCTGGAGACCTGAAGCTTGTCCCGTAGACCTGAGCGGCAAGACGGCCATCGTCACTGGAGCCAGCAGCGGTGAGTTTGGCCCCTCAGCCACACTAGCTCAAGTCTTAGGCAGATGTATTTCCACAATCCTGGTTAGTTTGGGTTTCTGGCTTTTTGCCTGATGATACAGTGCGCGGCACGAAGCCTCCATGTCTGGTTAACGTTCATAAAGAAACCCAGGAAATGAATCGATCGGTTTAGTGTGTCCGGACTCGTTGTCTGCAGGTGGCTGCCGGGTCTGGGAGGAAAGAGGCTTCCTTGCCTCTGCCAGGACCACTTTCCAAGGCAAGAAGCCCCCCCCCCCGACCAGCAGCCCCAAGTATTCCTGGGGGCAGCTGTCTTGATGTTGGTGTGTGCGTGCAGTTTAAGAGACCGGTCTGTTCGGTCGGCCAGGCTGCTAAAGAACGGCGGCTGCTGATGTGCTCCCCCCTCCCCGATTGTAACATGCTTGGCTGAGGGCAGGATGAGACCCTCGTCTTGTGGGACAGTAGAGAGGAAACGCCAGCTGGGATGGCTGCCCAAGAAGCCGCTGGGGCTTAGGAGAGCAAGACTGGGCTCAGCCTTTGGGAACTGGGACTGAACTCCCGGGTGCCTCTTCCTGTCCCCCAGGTGGGCTTGAGCAGGGAAATGGCAGAGGGAGAGCCCTGGGATGGGGGGGGGAGACCTTGGCATTACCTTGTTTGACCCTCATGCATTCTCTGCCCCCCCCCCCAGACAATGGTTTTCCCCCCACTCCTCCCCTGTGTGTTTAGAAGGAGAGGCCGGGCCTTCTCTTCCTGCTGCCCACTAAAAGGCAAAGGGCACCTGCAGGGAGAGCCTGGTGCCAAGTCACCCTTTCCTCCCTCTGGGAACGGTCCCTTCCTTTCGGACCACTGCCCCCCTTAGGGTGACGTGCCATGAGTTGCACCCCAAGGACGAATAACGGGGACTAAGTCAAGGTTCATTTCCCACAATTACAATTGACTACATAGACATTATGGCTCTCTGATATTTAATAAGGCTCCTGTTTTAGGACACTATCAATTATAATTTGATTATAAGTTACGGAAATCTTCAGGCTTCAGGGAGGGGGGTGTCAGCCTGTTTCTCTCCTCCAGAGGAGAGCATTCCTTTGGCAGAAGACCCTGGTCTTCACCCCTGGTCATCAGCCATTGGCCCATTATGAGCAAATCAGTTCTTTCTCTCTGTTGGAGGCAGATGGGAAGTCCACCGGCCATCACTACTTGCAGCCTCCCTGCCCGCAGGGAGATAAGGGCAGCCAACGTGGCAGCCTCTGCCTGCTGAAGAGCAGGGAGCCCTGGGGAGGGCAGCCCCGGCCAATGCAGGGGTCTCATGGAGGGCATTTAACCGAGCAATCAGCCCTCCCTTCAGGGCTCAGACTCGGGCGCCCATTGGCTGGAGAGGAGGCCTTCAGCCCCCAGGGACCTGCGATCCCCTCTCCCCTCCCCTCCCCTCCCCCCACGAGAGGCCTTCCCCTTCACAGGACTGTGCCCGCCACCTGTCCTGGCCCCTTTCGGCCATGGTGAGGAATGGCCCAGCTGCAGCTGGCATCTGCAGTATTGCCTCCATTTGACTCATGGGACTGACAAGGGTGCACCGCTGTTGGATGGTGCCCAGCCCGGTTTGTGCCATCTGCTTTGGACCCGCTCAGTGTGCAAAGTCCGTGGCAGACAGCACAGTTGATATTGCAGTTCTCAGCGTTTCCAAGACGCAACTCAGACCTCCTCATGCTGCAAGAATCCGGCAGCCTTTCTGATCACCTCGGGGTCTCTGGCCCACAGGGGGTGGGTAGATGGGTACTTTCCTGGGGTCCCGGGGCAGCTGCTCTTGATGCCCATCCTTTGCAGGAATTGGCAAGGCCGTCGCTCTTGACCTGGCACGCAGGAATGCACGGACAATCCTGGCCTGCCGCTGCAGGGACAAAGGCCAGGCTGCAGTGGAGGAGATCCGTAAAGCCACGGGGAACCCTCAGGTGCAGCTTCGTCTGCTGGACATCAGCTCCATGGCCTCCGTCCGTGATTTTGCCAGGAAGTTCCTGGAGGAAGGGAGCCAGCTGCACATCTTGGTGAACAATGCGGGTGTCACAGGTAATGGGCACCGGGCAGCTGTGCCCTCTGCTTGCCCTCTGGGTCAGAAGGGAGCAGGCCAAAGGCCCGGAAGCTTCAGTTCCATCCCAAGGGCCCAAGGCTGAGACGGACCCTTGCCCGAGACCAGTGGCCCGGAGCCCAGAGACCCCAACCCGAAGCCTGCCGCCTCTTGAGCTGCCCGCCATCTTCTTTCCCATTTAGGCCTGCCATTTGCCATCACAGCTGAGGGCCTGGAGCTCACGTTTGCCACCAACGTCTTGGGCCCCTTCCTGCTCACCAACCTGCTGCTTGGTAAGGACCAGCTTCTCCTGCATGCAGCCTGGAGGTTGTGGACTCCGCGGCTGCCCCATCGCCTCAAACCCTCTCAATCCGGCAGCTCCTCTCTCAGTGCCAGGTGGGGAGGGGCCAGGCCCTTCTAAAGACGGGATCCCCCAAATGGTCTCCAATTATGATGGTGCCACTTCCTGGAGGAGGCTGGGCAAGCAGCCTTGGTGAGGTCATGAGAGACCAGGAAGTTGCAAAGAAGTGAAGGAAATGCAGGCTGGCACCAAATGCCCTGTAAATCATTTCTGGGTGGGAACTCAGCAGGATGAGTGAGCCAAAGAAAAGTTGATTTCCTCGGAACCAGAAGGATAGGAGGCAAATGTTGAGGATAAATAGGAAAGCAAACAAAAAGACTCTCACCGGCATCTCTGCACAGCCAGGCAGTAGCACTGATCTACCTGGGCGGACCTAGAAAAGTGCCGGCCCGACTTAGGCAGATGGCTGGAACCCAGGCCGGGCTGGGCATCCGAAAATGCAGCCCCCAATAAGGTTGCCACAAATGCTTCTGTGGTGTTGCGCTCCACGTGGGCTGCCCTCGAAGATCACCCAGGGGCTAAAACTGGTCCGGAATCAGCAACCCGCTGAGCGCTGGCCGTCCCTGGCTTCACCCGTACAACACCTCTCTTGTGCCAGCGGCACCGGCCTCCAGCTTTCCTCCGGACGGAGATGCCACTCATTTCCTTTAAAGCTCTGCAGAGCAGGAACCAGGCCAGCTGCAGGGCGCTTCTCCCCCAGGGACCTCTGCCCATCAGACCAAAGAGGGTGGCATCTCCAGGCCCCTCCCCTTGCCATCCTCTGCCTCCTGGGGAGCCGGCCTCTGCCCTGGCAGCCCCTGCCTTGCACAACGCCCCCCCCCTTGGGATCTGACAGCTCCCCAAGCTTCTGCCCTTCCCACAGCACCTCAGACTGGCTCTTCCCCCAGGCATCAGGGCAGGAGGAAGGGGGGCTGCGCTAGAGAAGAGAGGCTGGGGCACCAGATTTTTTCATTACTAGTTTTATTGTTGCTTTTACCATTTTATTGGTTGTTTTTAAGAGAAGCACCTGTAGTATATAAACAAGCAAATAAATGGCGGGGTCTCAAAGAAGTCCTGGCGTTCACCCATTATTGAGGGCCGCAGTATAGCTGCACCTGGCAACTATCTACAATATGGGTACTAAGAGAATGGATCAAGGAAGGAGGAGGAGCCCCAATTTTGCCTGCCTTTGGGGTCAGGAAAGAGCAGGGAGAGAGGTGGGTGGAAAGGGGCTGGGGGGGGGGCTCCCCGCAGCTGGTGGGAGCTGGCTCTTCAAGGGCTTTGGTCCCCCTCGCTGATCCTCCGCGCAGGTACCATGGTGGCCTCTGCTCCAGCGCGCATCGTGAATGTGTCTTCCTTCCGGCACTTCTGTGTCAGGAAGGTGGACCTGAAGTGGTTGACCGGGGAGGAACTGCCCAAGAATGCCAGCCACGCCTACGACTGCACCAAGCTCATGAACGTCGCCTTCACCATAAAGTTGGCCCAGAGGCTCCAGGGCACCGGTAAGCACCCGGCTTCCTGCGAGGTTCCCGTTGCTGGGCAAAATCATAGAAACAGAACGGAGGAAAAGGAGGAAAGACGAGGCGGAAATGACACCTGTGTGCACCTGTTGAGATCCAGCCTGCTCCCTCTGCTTCCCCAGACCTTCCATCCTGGCAGGCTCTCCACTGCCAGGCAGCCCTTCGTGCTCGGCCAGCCCAAATCCTCCTCGCTCTTTTCCAGGCTCCCACCTGCCCACCCAGCCTGACTGTCCTTGAGCTTCTCCTTCTCTCAAGGGACTTTTTCTTCCTTCTTAGATGTCCTTGTTCTCTTCTGCCTTCCTGACGGTCCGGCCACTTTCATTCCATCTGCCATTTCTGACCCTGTGGTCTTCCCTGGAACCCCATTCGCACAACCTTCGGCTCCCTTTTATGCTTCTGTCCAGCACTGGCTCCCCTAGGACGAGGCGGGTGGTGCTCTCATCCACAGCCCCTTTCACATGGGGCACGTAGGAGAATTGCTGCTGCTTGGTTGTTGTCATGCTCTGGTGCCATTTGTTAGCAGCGTGAACCCCTTTTCAGAGTGTCAGGGGCTCCCTGGCAGCCCTTCCTGTCCGGCAGGGAGTCCAACCAGGGAGGGGCTGGGACCAGGTTAATATCAGGTGCAGAGAGATGCTCCCACCAGCTGGGCCTGCAGCTCACTGCTCCTCTCGGAGGCGCTGCCTGGTGGCTCTTTCCCTGCCCCTCTTTTGGGCTGGGTGAGAAAGGGGCCGCCCCCCCATTCCGGCGACTCCCAGACCAGCCTCCTCTTGCTGGGATTCACTCAGGCAGGGCGTCTCCTCTGCAGGCGTGTTGGCCAACGTGCTCAGCCCAGGAGTTGTCCGGACGGAGATCCTGCGCAACTACGGCCGGGCCAGCCGTCTGCTCTACAGACTGTGCAGCCCCTTCATGAGGGTGAGTCTTCTGAAGCAGCAGCTTCAGCAGCAGAGCTTGCTGTGAAGAATGGCGGGGGGGAGGAGGGGAAGGGACTGGGGGAGGTTTGGGGAATTGCTTGAGGGGGGCATCAGAGCTCCCTGCAGCAGAGACGAGAGCTCCCTGACGGCTGTCCAGAGAACCTGCTCAGTGGGGCCCGGAGAACTGGACTCTCGCTCTCCAGGAGGCCTTTGGCTGCTGGTCCTCTTTCTCTGCCCCCCCCAAAGCCTGCTCTGAGGGGCTCTCCTGCTCTCTCTCCCCAGAGCCCCCAAAAGGGAGCCACCAGCACTCTCTACTGCGCAGTCGCCCCGGAAGTGGAGGGGATTTCCGGCAAGTACTTCGACAGCAACTGCACCCTGGTGCTACCTCAAGACCTGGCACAGGACCCGGGCCTTGGCCAGAGACTGTGGGATGCGCTGGAGAAGGCCACGGGCCTCAAGACGGAGGGAAGCCATCAGGCAGTCTCAGGCCCTCTGGGAAGGGAACGTTAGGGGGCTGCTTCATCTTTTCTGGCCAGGGTAGTAGAAGAGCTGCTGCCCAGCAACATGGATCCCTGACTCCCCTTCCAAGAACTCTTTCCTGCAAAGTGGCCAAGCCCTTCAACTTCACAAAATTCACCCTGGGTTTTCTCTCATGCTGTGAACTGAGGACCTTGAGGTCTCCCGGGGGCCCTCCAGCCCTCTGTTCGAGTTTGGGGGGGGCGGGGTCTGCACGAAAGCTTTGAACCTCTTTTTCCCAGGCTGTTTGCATGACAGATTAAGTTCCTCTGGAAGCTGCTCAGAACCTCCTGATGTTTTTTTGTCTAGAGACTCTGAGGCTCCCCTCAGCTTCAGCACCGTCTCTCCAGCGATGCCTTTGCAGTACGGCAGGCTCCCCCCATCAGTCCTTTTTCCTCGGCTGCCCAGGTTCTGCTGTGGGGTTCTATCTAGTCTTTAAACCATGAATAGTCTGATTACAAGGGAAGAGTGACTTGTGGACCTTCTTACTGAAATACAATAACCAAGTTTGTTTTGCACTCTGATCTGTAGTGAGTTTACTGCTGCAAACGAAAGCAAAATGGAACTGCAAACTTCTTAAAAAAGGTAGAGGCTGTAGCAACCCTGAACTTTCCTTGGAAAAGCTCCCCCTCTCCAAGTGACAGTATCTCAAGGGTCTGGAAGTTCAGTGGGAAGCTTGCAGGGGGTGTTTTGGGATGCAGCCTGCTCCCTGCAGGGGAAGCATTTTGCAACAGCTTCCGAGACAAGGTGCCAAATGTGCCCCCCCCTCAAAAAAAGCCACCTCTCATGCTCTAGCAGGGGAGCATCACCAAGCCAGCCACATAGCTGCCCTGATTGGCCCCAGGAGGGGAGGTGGCTGAAATCAGCAGCTTTTCCTAAGCGGAGCACAAGGGGCAAACCAACCCCCCCCCCTTTTGACCTGAATACTGCTAACAGATGCGAGCTTTAAATCTCTTGCTGGCCAGGGAAGCCTGGAGTTGGGGTCCACCCGAACGCTGGCGGAGCCTCTGATTTCCTTTGGGTAAATCTTCCCCAGGCCAGGGGGAGAAATGGGGCAGCTGTGGGATTCTCCCCATTGAAGGCAACCCTTTTGTGAGCAGGTCCTCCCTGCTACTATGGCTGACGACTGGAGGTTCCAGAGGAGCCTTACGCTTGGTTTATAAACTCTCCATTCATTATAGTTATCCCGGGGTTACCTCTTTAAATTCTTTGGGGGTCCAGGAGGCAAATTCTAAATTAGCCAGCAATCGCAGTGAAATGCCAAGAGAACAAAAGCGGCTTCAATAGTGCAAATACGCCATTAGTGTCAGGATGAGATAAAGCAAATTGGCCCATGCCTGGTGAGTTCCCTGCCCCCTCCAGCCCCTCCTACTCTGACCCAGGGACTTTAAAAATGAGTGTGTGCAACAGAGCCTCTCCAAGCTGGCAGATAATCTTCGGTGGCACGCAAGCCTGTTACTACTTTAAAAACCCCGCAAGGCAGGAAGCCGGCTGCGTGGCAGAGATTCGGGTCCATCTTTCGGAGACCCTCCAGGGAAAAGAGCTCCCCACTTCTGGGGAAGAACCCCAAACCACCGCAAGAAAGGGGGTGCCCGGGCAGGGCGGCCAGCTCCGTTCCTTGGCAGGGTTTCGGGGACCGTGGCTGGAAACAATGCAGCCCTTCTCAACGGACGGACGGGAAGCCGGCTTTCCCCGTTGCTCCTCGCTCTCCCGTTTGGCTTGGAGGAACAGCTGAAGGTCTCGGGTGACGCGACAGGCTGATGTCCTTCACAAAGCACACCGTCGTAAGGATTGAGGTTGCTTCCACGTCATCCATGATTTTCTGGTTCTCTTTTGTCAGAAAAATTGGGGCGGGGATTTAATCTGAAACTCAATATTTAGAAGTTTTAATAAGCAAGTCTTGTAAATTTAAGACTATTAATTCAGCAAACTGTATTATCATCCAGCCCAAAAAATCCACCAGGTGCCTGGAGCCCACCTCCACGTCTACTGAGAGAAGTGAAAATATGAATGGCAGGAACCCAGACCAGCCATTGAGGGCGTCAGGCTGGCATCAAGGTTTTCCACATATTGTCAGAGTAAAAATAGTAGCCGGGTTGCAGATTCTACAGCTTTTCTGTAAATGCTGTATTGCACCATCGCTAATTTTCAATAAGCACATGAAATTAAACCAATCGGCAAGTTCGCTTTATCAATCACAGAGTGGCCTCTAGATGAGGTGGGTGGCCCATAAATGTCCTAGTAAATGCTCTGAATTGTAATTATGAAGTAACCAATAACGTGGAAGTGATGACTGGTTTAAGTCGACAAAGAGGACTTGTAATCTGCCCTCTCTCCGGTCCTTTGCTTAATACAGTGTTTCTCAACCTTGACCATTTTAAGGCATGTGGACTTCAACTCCCAGAATTCCACAGCCAGCAATGCTGGCTGTGGAATTCTGGGAGTTGAAGTCCACATGCCTTAAAATGGTCAAGGTTGAGAAACACTGGCTTAATAGCTTCAGAGCTGTAACTGTTCACAAATCGATCAGGCGTCAAGGTATCGGTCCCGGTTTCCAGTTTAAGCCACCCTTGGGAGGAACGCCTCCATCATCCCCAGGTTTTTCTGAATCCCTCAGTGTCTACCTGAGCTCCCATCAGAGGCAACCGGGAAGGATCCCCATTTGGCGTCTGCTCCAGGCCAAGGAAACCGGCAAGTGTGTCGCCACCCTGCAGAGGCCTGTACCAACATGTGAGAACTGCTTCCTCCCTGCAGGGTATCAGCTGCTGGAGAGGGAGGCTCCTGAACGCCTGTCCTGCCGAGAGCCTTTGGTGCACCTACCTACCCAGGTGAGAACACGGGGGCCAGACTGGGAATGCCTTGCCTTGGACTGGTTTCTAGGAGGGAGAATGCAAAGCAGCAACTCCACTGTTGCTAGACCACCCCCTCTGACCGACTCCCGGATCGCACCCACAAAGGCCACCCGCCTCTGCGCCCAGTGCCGACAGAAGCCAGACAGACTGTGGGAGAGAATACAAACTTTATTAGCAGAGGCTCCTCTACTTTGGCCTCGGTATAAACAAAGCTGATTTTCCGGGCTTTCACTGCCACTCGATGTGAAGGTCAAGGCCTTCCCGGCTGACTTTTCGGAGAAACTCATCATAGTCGCTCCGGTAGATGTCTGGGCATTTGTCCAAGTGGAGGGAATTCAGCTGGTTGTCTGCAGCCAGAAGCAGATGGATGGTGCTGCTGGACACCTGGCACTGGAGCAGAGAAAGGTAGCGGAGGTGCACCAGAGCGGCGCCCCGGGGCTCCAGCACTTTCTCGAACACCTCATCCAGGCAGAAAGGCAGGTAGAAGAGCTCCAAGCTCTGCAGGCAGGGGGAGTTCTGGAGGACGGACACGAGGTTTGCTCTCAATCTCGGGATAGGCTGGGAAGGCGCGGAAGTGTGCAAATGGCAAAGGCTCAGGGTAAACTCAGAAAGGTGGGAGAAGCCGGGGGGGCCCAAAACAGCATCCTGCTCGGCGGGTGGCCTTCCCTGGCCCCTCAGGGAGAGGAAGATGCTGGCGCTGAATTTCTGGAGATTTGGGCAGCGATTGAGCAGCGTGTGGAAGGACAACTCATCCCTGACGTAAAAGCCGTCGACGGAGAGGGAATGCATCTGGGCGCCGATGATGGCCACCACCGGCAGCAGCTCCGCCAGGTTCCTGGGTCTGCTGCAGTCCAAGGTCAGGTCGGCGAGGGTGTGCCAGGTGTAGAAGGCGGGGCTCAAGGCAGAACCGTCGTCCAGAAGGACGATGGCTTTGGTCAGGTGTGGGCAGACGGCACAAACGGTGGGCAAGAAAGTCTCCTCCACCTCCAGGAGCTCCTTGAGGGGCAGCGTCAGCCTGGGGCCGGCCTGGTCTGGGCGCAGGGCCATCCTGCGCCGGGCCAGCTCCCCCAGGGAGGGGAACCGGGGGTCGATCTGGGCAGCCGCGAACTGCTGGCCGAGGATCTCGTGCAGAGCCTCAGAAACAAACTCGTTCTCCACGAATCGGAGAGCGGGAAGGGCCAACAGAACAAAGGCCAAGGCCCAGACCAGGTCCCGGCTTCTGCCACTGGGCTCCAGGCCATCCACCGAGAGCACCTGCAGGCCCTGGCAAGAGAAGGAGCCGGCCGTGACGTCGTAGGCCAGGTGGAAGAGGGACTCTGCGGACAGCCGCTTGCAGTCGGAGATGTTCAGCTCACAAAGATGCCGACAGGTGGAGCCCACGGCAGACAAGACCTGGGTGTTGCACTGGGTGTCCGACAGGTCCAGCTTCTTGAGAGAAGGCAAGCTCTCTATCAGGTCCACGAGAGCATCGCTGGGGATCCGGCTGCAGCGCTGGAGATACAGCAGGGACAGGTTCTGCCCCAGAGGGGAAGAAGAAAAGGCGGCGGTGTAAGTCAGGAAACGCGGCTGTCTCTCGTGGCACAGCTGGGCTCACCGGGTGGAACAGCCCGGCTTGACCTGCCCAGATTTTTCAACATCAGGCAGACATTTTAATTCTCCTGGGACATTTGATTCTTGATTTCACTGCTGTACCTGTTTCCTGATTTTAATTTTAATACTGGACTGTTAACAGATTTTATAATTTAAATTAATTTTAAAATTTAAGAATAAGAGCTTAAAATAATGTCTTTTACCTTTCACCAATCTTATTAGTGTTTTAAATTTGTAGATATTGGTTTAAAATGTTTTTTATACTAGCTGTAGGTAGCTCTGGAAAACCAGTGTTGAAAGATAGTACGTAAACCCTTAAGTCAGGGGTGGGGAGCGATGGCCCCTTTATGTGGACTTCAGATCCCAGAAGCCTAGAGCCAACCATGGTCTGCAGGCTCAGGACTTCTGGGAGCTGAAGCCCACAAGTCATAAAGGGCCCATCCTTCCCCACCTCTGTCTGCTTTCCATAAATCATGGGCCTATTTTGTATTTTGCCTTCAATGAATCCTTGCCTTGGAACCTTTTCTGTCTGTGCTTTCGGTGGCCACAATTTGAACGAAACGAAGGCAGGACGGAACTTTTAATGGCGCAACAGCCTTGGCATCCGATCTGGCTGCAAGGAAACCAGAGGACAACCACGAAGTGGCCACTCCTGAAAAACTGCTTCTCCTTTCCAGAAACAACCTTGTAGGAGAGAGGCAGATTTTATGGCTCCTGGCCTCACCCTGCTTAGATCTTGAGGCCAGTCGGCTGACGTGGGGTATCCCTCCCCCATCGGGTTATAATATTGGATACTGGGAGGTTGTTTGTTGGTATTTTGCATTTTAACTCCTGTACGGTTGGGAGGACGGCTGATGGGACATAAATCAATCAATAAACCCTCACTTTATCCCAAATCCTCTTTGCTTTGATTGGCTCAATTATCATGATTATTAGGCGTTCAGAGTTCCTACTGAGGATGGAAACAAGGAAGGGCTGAACGTCTCCCAGAAGCAGCTTGGCTAAACCAGACAATTCCTGCCATGTCGCCAGATTTCCTCATTCAGTCCAAGAGGCACCAGAGCTGGAAAGGAGGCATCACCCGCCAAGCCAAACAAAGATGCTTCCTGGGGTGAAGCCAGCTGGAAGAGGCGGGCCACGCGGGGCCAGAGAAGAGGACCCACAGAAACCAGAGCCTCCCCCCTCCCACCAGCAGCCCCTCCGTCCACCTTGCAGCGGCTGGAGATCATCTGCGCCACGTCCCGGGTCACCAGCTGGGAGCACCGGCCCAGGTCCAGCTCCGTCAGCTGCGGCACCACCAGCAAGTGCAGCACCGGCCGCGTCACGCGCCGCTTGCTGCCCAGGAAGTCGATCAGCTCCCGGACCAGGCAGCCGGCTGGGGGGGAGGGGGAGGGAGGAAAGGAGGAGGACGGAGAGGGGGAGGGGGGAAGAGAAGGAGGGGGAGGAGGGAAAGTTCAGCCCAGGCGGGGCCGGCCGCCCCTCCCCCCTCGGCCGCGGAGGGCGACGCTCCCCCGCTTCCCCCCCCTCCAGCCGGAGGGGCTCCAGGGGCCTCCCCACCTCCCTCCGTCCGGCGGTCCGGGGCAGGCAGCCGCCCTCCGAGCCGGGCCCCGCCAGCGCAGCCCCTCCGCCGCTGCCCGCCCGCGCCCCGCCCCGCCCGGCGCCTCACCCAGCTCGCTGAAGGGCCCCAGCAGGTAGCGGAAGCGCTGCTCGTCCAGGGAGCGCTCGACGTAGTCCTTGGCCCAGAGCTGCTGCATGTTGGCCGCCACGTTCTCCAGGCAGAGCGCCCGCAGCGCCCGCGCCGCCTTCCTCCGCGGCATCCCGGCTGCTCCAGCGACGGCCGAGAGCGGAGCAGCAGCACCAGCAGCAGCCGCCGCCCTCGCGAACGCCCGCTGCACCAGCGCACTTCCGGCCGCCAGGGGGCGTCCGCCGGAAGTTCCGCCGCTCCCGCGCCGGCGTGGGGGGGTCCTCTTCTGGGGTGCCCGGAGCGCCTGAAGAGAGGTAGCCGCCGCCCGGCGAGGGCTCTGCGACCGGCGGCGGAGGGGCAGCTGCTGCCGGGGGCTTTGCTGACGCGGCGGACGAGGCCGGCGGAGCCCGCGGGAGGAGGAAGCGGCGGCGGCGGGTAGGCGAGAGAGGCGGCGGGGCCCCGCGGCCTACCTGGCAGGGCTGTGCGGGCGGAGGCTTGGGGGAGCTCAGCGGCCCGACCCGTCCCCGTTTCCTGGGCGGCGGCCCGGCCCGGGAAGCGGGCTGCTTTGCGGCGGCTGCCCTCGCCGTGGCCCGGAGTCCCGCCGGTCCGGGGAAGGAGCGGCGACTGGGGGGGCGGCGCCCGGCTGGGCTAGCGGGCCGCCGGTTCCCGGTGTTCGGGCGGGCTGCGTGCCGAGGGCCGGCGGCGGGATCCGGCTGGCTCCTGCGGGGGGGGGGAATGGAGGAGAGAGAGGGAGAGGAGCAGCAGCCGGGGAGGGGCAGCTGGGCTGGGCCCCCCTTCCGTGGGCCCGTCGCGCTCTCCCCGGCCGGCCTACCTGGCCAGCCTGTCGTTGAGGGGAACGCCCGGAGGGAGAGGCGGGGAGGCGCCTCCGGGATGCAAAACTTCACAACGAATCTTCGCTTCTTCCATTTGGGGAGGGGGGACTGAGAGAAGCCGCCCCCCTCGCCCCCCCCGCTTGACCAACGGTTGGGGCTCTCGGGACCTCCCCTCCCAGTCCTGGCGCCCCCTCCCCCCTGGATCACTCCCCTTGGGGGGCTCCCTCCCCCCTCCGTTGCCCCCTCCCCCCTGGAGCCAGCCATCAGTCCCCCCCCCTCCCCCCTTATGAAGCCCAGATCTTCCGCCTTTTGGGTAGCCCCCCCTCGCCTCTCCCCCCCCCCACCTTGCTCCACTTCGTCTCCGTCCTTTTGGCCCTGGGAGTCCCTGAACTGGGCTTAGCCATCCAAATGGGGTTTATGAAGGGCGTAATAATAATAGAGTGGAGCATTTATTTCCTCCGGATGCTCCCCAGTTGATCTGCCTGGAGGTTTATATGCTCTTTTAGCTCGCTTGAAGGGTGGAAGAGGCTGATGAGAGGCTGTGATGCTGCCGCTTCTGATGAACTGGGCAGGCTGGCGGGATTATAAGTTTAAGTCAGAGTTGCTGGGAGCCAGGGGGCATGTAAAGTTAATGAAGTATTAATAATTATGTCAGAACCTGAGTGCTGTGGAGATGGGCTCTGATCAGTCAAAGGGAAACTTCAGGCTCTCACATTATAATACAGGAACCCCTTGGGTAACGACTGTTCAGCGACATTCAAAGTTATAGTGTCACTGAACAAGTCTCTAGCCTGGAAGTTGCAGCCGTTACAGCATCCCCATGCAATCACACAACTGCAACGCCCACAGCATCCTGTGCCATTGGCAAACTTCACTGCTCACTTCCAACAGCCAAAGTCAAAGGGAGAGACGGGAGGAGGTCACAAATGCTGATTCTGTGATGTCACACCTAACAGTGAGACAGGGTTGGGCTAACAAAAGCGACTAGAAGTGTTGGAACTGTTGACACAGTCACGTGATGTTGCGTTTTGCAAGATTTTCAGACATTCTTGTGTTGCTGGATAATTTAGAATTTGCAGGACTGATACCAAAACAGGAGGATATTGAAAATGGCGCCAGGACCAAATAAACTGGATCATGTTTATTAACATTTTCCCTGTTAATTTCTTAGGGCGTCTTTCCCCAGTCTGCCACAGTGAATCTGAGTGCTGGGAATGGTCTCCAGAATTAGACTCACGAAGGGGTTACTTTCATTGGGGAAGCTTTATAATCCCCCACACTCTCTCTCTCCCCGTCTCTTTTCTCTCTTCTCTCTCTCTAATCCCCGCCACTCTCTCTTTCCCTCTCTTCTCTCTCTCTCTGTTCCCCCTCCACTCCTGGGGTTGCTTACTTTAGGCATCAGCAAGGGAAGTTACACCTTAACGAGGAGGAAGGATTTAGCAGGCTGTTGACACCTGCTAAGACAGTGGTTATCAACCTTTTTAATGCCGCGACCTCTAACCGGTCGTAAGTTGAGGACTACTCAACCGGTCGTAAGTCGAGGACTACTCAACTGGTGCAGCACCATTTGCAGACTGGGACTTTTGGTGGGCTCAGCAGGGCAGAGATAGCCTGGACAATTCCTATTGGCTTTTAAAAGCCAATAGAATTAGACTCTATTCAAGAGAGTCTATTCTATTGGCTTTCAAAAGCCAATAGAATAAAAGGGAGCAGCACAGCTAAGGAAAAGGGGGGGGAAATGGCGGACTGTGTTGTTTGGCGACCCCGTGAAATGGTCGTTCTACCCCAAATGGGGTCCCGACCCACAGGTGGAGAACCACTGTGCTAAGAGCTATTTTGGTATAATGGTTAAGGCACCAGGCTTGACTGAGTTCAAGTTCTGCCTTGGCCATGAAACCAGTCTCTCTCTCTCCCCCTCTCTCTCCACCATCATATCCACTTCATAGGCTGGTGGTTGTAAGGAAACTAGGAGGGGGGAGGTGTGTTGGATTTGTTCACCACCTTCAGTTATTTGTAAAAATAATAAAGGAGGGAAATAAATAAGTCAGACGAGGGAAGTCATTATCCAGTTGGAGCTGGAGCAGAAAACTTGTTATCTGGCAGCTCACAATAGGAAGAACTAGTTTGCTTAAGCCAGGGCTCTTCAGACTTGGCCCTTTGATGACTTGTGGACTTCAACTCCCAGAATTGTGCCTGGCTGAGGAATTCTGGGAGTTGAAGTCCACAAGTCATCAAAGGGCCAAGTTGGAAGAGCCCTGCTCTAAGCAGCTTCTCTTTCAGGTGCCAATTAAGAATGCACGTCAATCACAGGAGAAACCTACACTGGCCTACTGTAAAAGTAGCCAATTTTCCTTCCTTGAATGCCCCTGCAGGCTCTGCACTGATTTCCTGGGAAAGACAAAAGGGCTCCCATGCCACCACCTCTCCTCCAACTCTGGTTGGTGATTGCTGTGTTTGTATCTTGATTTTTAATGCACCAGAAATCCCAACCTTCCACGTATAAATAAAAACAGAGTGGGATTTGAAGACAGTGTTACCCTAGCATTTATCTTAGCTCTGGTCATGTTAAGGTACCACTTGTTTAGTCATGGCTGTGAATTCCTACATGATCAGCCCTGAACTGTGCTGTAGGCATTGATGGGCAGTAGAGATGGCACCCCTTTCAACCCTTGCCTTTCAAATGGAGATCTCCCTGAGCGAGCCGGTCTCCCATTTATGGGGTTAGAGCTGGGAGCAGCACCGAAAGCTCTGTGGATGCCCTGCTGTGGCTTTTTTTTCTTTAGCATATCCGGTCAAAAGGAGAGTAGTAATTAATCCAGAAAGCTCCACTAGCAGCCTGATCTGGACAGCAGCTGCTACTGAATTGGCCCAGGCCATCTCGCAGCCTTGCAGTTGCCAGTGGCCTTCCCCAATCTGCCCCTACCCGCAGGCAGGCTTGGTGGCTTCCAGCCTCTCAAGTAGCCATAGTGGCTCCGGGGAGCGGGGTGCCTAGTCCAAGGCAGCTGGAGCTGAAGGGGACGGAACAGAGAAGCCATTTCCTTTGGGCGCCTCAAGTCCAGCTGCGCTACTCTTCTACTCTTCGGTTAAGGGTCCCGCAGTGAGAGAAAGGCAAGGCAGATGGAGGACAGACGACAGCCGGGCTGAAGGACGGGAGAGGTTTGGGGTTTCTGGGGGTGCCTCTCGTGAAGGTGAAATGAAGGAAAAACCACCGAGGAAGCCCCAGACAGACCCCCTCCCCCAGGGATGGAGCTGGGCTGACCCACCTGGAGGGGACCACCCTGCACCAAAAGCAGCTCACCTGGTTATCAGCCAGCATCCTCCTCGGAGCTCTCGGCGTTGCTATGGTTACCCTTCAGTGGAGAGCATCCTCCCTCTCTTGGTCTGCTCTCAGCCGCTCTGGTTGTTGCTGAAAAAACAAGGCAGAAAAATGGGCGAAGGGCGCCGCCCAGCCCCTGCGCCAGGCCCCCTTGGTGCTGCTGCTGCTGCTGCTGCAGCCGCCCTGCTCCCCTCTCCGGAGAAGGGGGCTCGCCCACTCCTGAAATTGGGAAATGGTGGCATCTGCCAGTGCGCAGACGCCCACGCTGTAACGCCTTCAGGGTCCTAATGCCTGGTGGGCTCCAGTTTCCCTTTTGGGAATGGCCTGGCTGGAAGGTGAACCAGCTGCTGGCTGCACCTGGAGTTTGGGGACACTTGGGGGGGAGGCAACAGAAGGGCCCTCAAGGGGACTGATGAACCGGTAGTTAGTAAAATCTTGGATGACAAGTGGGTTTTCCCCGGCAGGAATTGAAGGGATTAATATATAAAGGCTTTTGAGCACCAATTTTGGGAAAGCTGTTAAGGAGAATACCCTTCAGGGGGAGTTGAATGGCTGGATGTGGCTCCCACACCTTTCCCAGGTGAGCATCCCTCTGGGGTGGTCAGCAAAGAGCTTCTAAAGACAATTTCAGCCACTTTCTTTGAGCACCTTTTTCCTTGCGATTCTTGTAGACCGTCATTTGTAAACTCAGCCTTCTTAGGTAAAACTTGTTTCTCTCCCATAACATCTTTTAGAAACAATCTGTGCAGATGTCTCTGTTGACACTATTAACATTAACTCCTGAGTCTACCGTTGGTTCAAAAAATATCCTTCAATATATCCAGTGTTAGAAAATTTTACATCTTCTGTTAAGTGGAATTTATGTGTTCTTCTCCTTTAATTGTAATATTTACTTCCCTCTGGTTCCCTCTAGTGTCCATTTTTAAAACTCTTTATTATTCTTTTAAATTCAAAACAAAAACATTTTCCCACAGGAAGGATTATAATTTTAAGCTCTTTATGTATTTGTATGTATGCCGCTCACCTCACCTGGAGGTAACTCTGGGCGGCCTGCAAGCATTAAAACTGGTAGATGTCAAAATGATGAAACAATAAATAACAGCCCTAAAGTAGGTGCAGTTCAGAAAGGTGGAGGAGGGGAACGCAAGGCACACCTGGAGAGGTGGGGGCTTTTCTTAACCCAGTAGCTGTCCCCAGAATGGGGCACCCCCATTGGGGCCCCAGGCCAGCTGGCAGGCCCAGACGGAAGCTCAGCTGGGTGGGCGCAGGTCTCCCCTTTGGAGCAGGGTTGCCTGATCGGAGAGCAGCGCCCAACCTGGCCGGCCTTCCATAAGGGCCACAAGGCCCCCTGGGGGGGACACCAAGTTCCAGAGGGCAGAGAAGGCTCTTCTCCACCAACTGAATTCCCTTGACCGACGGGTCTGCGGCCTGCACCCTCTGCCAGCACAGGTGGAGCGGGCCAGTCCCATTGGGGTGAGGGGTTCTCTGGATAACTGGGCCAATGCCACAAAGGGCTTTAAAGGTGGCAACTCACCCCGTGATTCGCACCTGGAAGCAAACTGGCAACCGGTGCAGCACGCGGAACAGCCATGTAACACAGGCCATCCCGAGGGGCCTGAGAGCTATCCACACCACCAACATTTCAAATTTATTTGGACATTTAGTCTGCTTGTAACTTTCCAAAATCAAAAGTTTTAATCACCCTTTGGCTGTTCCCTCAATTTTTTTTCCTAAGCACTTAAAACTTACTTCCGGTAGGGATTGAAGGATGCTTCCCCAGTGCTGTCCAACTTGTTGATCCAGAGGTTCCTAATGGCTGAAAAGCAACCGACAATTCTTTCCAGAAGTGATTAGAAAATGAAATATATAATCCCTCTGAAGGGGCCATCTGTGGGTTGAGCAAGGAGGCTGTTTCTTCTTTAGAGCTCTCAGCCTGCTGGAGACGGTAGTCTTCTCCGTAGCATTTGTGAGCGACCTCAGCCCACAAACACGGCTTGTCTCACTTGCCCAAAGACGTTGCGAAGAGCCGGTCTACTTGCTGGCCCGTCATCCCTGCGTGCTCGCAGCTTTCGCTCTGCAGGGCCCTCTTTCCTGTGGGAGCCAAGCAAAGTCTCTCAGCATCTGTAGACCAGACAAATGTCTGGGGGAAACTTTATTATCTCCACGTCTGGAAAACCCAGGCAAGGTAGTCTTCCGCTCCCCTGCCCTTTCCTGGGGGTCTGTCTCTCTGAGAGACGCTGGAGAGAGGTGGGCTGTGATGGCGGGCTGGATCCAGCCGGGGCCAGGGACAGAGGAGGCTTCCTGTCCAGTCAACTGCCAGGCCTCTCCTTCTGCATAGCCAGATGCTCTTTCTTACATACTTTTTGTATTTGATCTATTGATATCCTGATTCAATGGTGCTTCCTTCGTCCTCCTATTGTAGATCGCCTTTGGTTTAGATCGGGTAGGCCACCTTGACTCTTTTATGACTGGTGGACTTCAACTCCCAGAATTCCTGAGCCAGCCTGGCTCAGCTTGGAGACCTCTCCCTTTCCCCTCAGCATGGCTGGCTCAGGAATTCTGGGAGTTGAAGTCCACCAGTCATAAAAGAGCCAAGGTGGCCTTCCCCTGGTTTGGATGGATAATGTCGTTGTGCCAAGGCAAAGAGAACACACAAAACCGTAGCTGTCTCTTGGAGTAGCCGGCTGTTCAGAGAGGAAGAAAACTTAACTGAATCCAGAAAGGTTTTAGCCCTGAAGGTTTCCTGCGAGGTGTCATGGCTTCTGGGTACCGTGGTGCAAAATTATTCAGTCCCAGTTACAGTTGGTCTATTCCCTCCCTACCTTGCAAGGTCAGAATTCTGAGAAAAAAGGGCCTGTGCATGGAAGCCAAGTCATATCTCAGAAGGCACAGAGGAGTTATATATGCTCCGGGGTCTGTAATGGACTCTGCAGGGGAAGGAGATTATTTCATCTTGATCTCTCTTGATTTAGGAGCGTGGTGGAGGTGGGTCATTCGTGTACTAATTTTCTAAACTGCCACAGTCAAACAATTCTCAGTGATGCATAATGATAATTAAAAACAGTATGTCAATTACAAAAATGAAAATAACTTAGAGCAGCGTTTCTCAACGTTTGTGTGACGGCGACCCCGTCACATGAACGTGCCGCGCATGCGTGGCGCTGCCCCCATGCGCAGCGTGCATGCGCGGCGCTGCCCCCTGAGGGGGGAAAATGGCAGATCGCATTGTTTGGCGACCCCCGTAAAATGGTCGATCGACCCCAAATGGGGTCGCGACCCATAGGTTGAGAACCGCTGACTTAGAGGAATATCAATGTGTAAGCAATATTCTCTCCCAAAAATTTTTTTAAAAGCTTTCAGAAGGATAATAATGTCAAAGCTAATTTAGCTTTTGGAGAGAGTCTTCCATAGTATTTATTTGTGCAATTTATATGCTGCTCAGTTGTAAAAAGTCTCTGAATAACATGTGGTAAAATAGAAAGATGTAAAAGGAAGAAAAACCAGCCTCCCAAAGTCAGCCAGTTTTACTAGAGATGCTGTTATTGCTGATGAAGCCATTTTGGGCTGAGGCTCCTGCTTTTCTTGCATGAGGCTGCCATGAAAGTCCTGCCCCCCCCCCAGTTTACTTGGCACGAAAGGCAGATGTTTTGTCCTTGGACTGAAAGACAAAATGCTGGAGAGGTTCAAGGGCACCTTATTTAAATTTTATTTATTAGATTTGTATCCCACACATCTCACCTAGAAATGCACCTTCCTAGTAATGCCCAATTATTCCACACACACCCTGCCGTTTACCTAGTACAGGTGTGAACAAATTGGGGGGAAGGGCTGGAGCTGAACCTCCTAATTCCTTGGGAGGCCACCCAGGGCGGTAATCACCAGACAGGTGTGGGCTGATTTTTTCCAGACCTTTTCTGATAAGGTGAGCATGGCCCAAAATTGCATCACTGAAACTTGGTCAGTTAGAGCCAAACGTTAGCTGAGTCCGTCTGCCGTTGCGGTCAGGGGACACTCCTGCGGTGGGATTAGGGCTCGGGTGGGGCGTCCCGTGACTCTCGTGTCACACGTCTCTGAGGAGCGTAGCTGTGTCTCTCCAGACAGGCACCCTCTGCAAGGTGTCCTCCCAGGGAGACTCTGGGCCTGCTTCCTTAAGAGCCCGGCTTTGCTTGGGGCTCTTTCGTAGCCCTGGGCCAAAGGAGAGGCAGAAGACCTCTGTCCTCGGGGTGAAGGGGAATCAGGGGATGTGGCCGAGTTTCCTAATTGCCTCCTTTCCTGTGCAAGACTTTGTTTTTTTAAATTTGCCAAAATGGTTGTATTGACTAGGACCAAATCTTGCAGTTTTTCTCTGCTCAGCCATATCGATTGTGCTAAGCTTTGCCAAATTTTGACTTTTTGCTGTTACCAATTTCTGCCCCCTTTCTTCTTTAAAACGCCGTTCTGCTACATGTTGTAAAAGCCTGTTGTGTGGAGCGTGGCGATGAGGACCAAGGCAGGCTCCCATCGGTCGATAGACTCACTTTTGCAGTCTGGCCACAGAGGCAGCAAGGGGAGCTTGCTTTGTGGCCACCCCCCCCCCCGTCATTGCATTTTCAGTTGCATACTTTGCATCAAGGGGCCCCTTGCAGCCTGCTTGGCGCCCTGAGTGATTTGTGCGGAGGATTTCTGAAGCGTTTTTAGGGTAAAAATCACGGAGCCTTTTGCTGGGGTGAATGTTGCTTTCCATGGGGGCCATGCAGAGCGTCTGTTCCAATGAATGGAGCAGCTTTTGGCTTATGGCCTTCAGGGTGGTCTCCTGACCCCTGACCGTCTGGAGGTTGGCCAGGAGGGCCCAAGGAATGGCCGGGGGGTCTTCCTTGCCTGATAAAATGGCCCAGAGGATTCTGCCAAATGGCCCGTCCTCAGCACTCCTTTTTGTACAGAGTTTTTGAGAAAGTGGCGTGCAGTGCAGGCATTTTGGAGAAGACAAATTAGGCCCTCATTTTAATCTGAATTCAGCCTAGTTTTGTATGGAGTCATTAATAGTCATGATCATGGATTAATTCTTGTATAACAGAGGCAGAGGGAGCGTGATCTTGTTGATCTCAGAGTCTTTAAGACTTCCTCCCGGAGAGAGTCTAAGAAGCATCTGGGTAAGCAGGAGGGAGAGCACTGCTTCTTGGGGCGGGAGTCCTGGGGGTAGTTTCCCAGAGGGGCCTGGAGGTCCGTGTGTCGTCCCCATCGCTCCAGCCAGAGCTCTGTGGCTGCGGTGTAGGGAAACTCTGGCCGGAGGCCTGGTGGGATCCTTGGGCCCCAGCCGGTCTGGGCCTGCAGGCCTTCAGAGCCTCGTCCATTCGGACATTCCCTTTTGATCTCCAGAAGAACCCAGGGGAGAACAATTCAGGGGTGGTCCACGAATGCCCTGCTGGTCAAAAGGGAGGCTCTGTCTGTCTGTCTGTCTGTCTGTCTCTCTCTCTCTCTCTGTTGTTCCTGGGAAGAGGGGAGCCCAGAGGCCTAGAGCTGGGCATGATGCTTTTGTCATCCTGGTGGTTCTCTGGAAGCTTCCTGGCGTGACTGGGGTCTCCTGCAGCTGAGCTGGGGCTGTCAGTTCCTGCCCTGGGCGGCTGTTTGGGTCAGTCGCAGAGCTGGGGGCCATCTAGGTCTCTGCCCTACCTTACCGAGCCACCTGCATTGCCTTTGTGGGTCTCGGGGCAGAACAAGCTAGCATTAGGACCCAGTGGGCTGGCAGTTCCTGTGACAAGAGTCTGGAGCAGCACTAGCGCAGAGTGAGTCTCCATCAGCTGGGCAGGATTGTGTGTGTGGGGCTGGGGGGGTCCTCTCCCACAAAAAGGCCTCTTCCGCCTCAGCCTCCCCGGGGTCTCCGCCCAGCGCCCAGGGATGGTCGCTTCCTCTCTGACATAAGAGTGGAATCCTGCTGTGCGCTGAGGCTGCCTTTCCAGAGCAAAATTGGCAGGGAAGAGCATCAGCATGGCCCAGGTCAAGCGACACCCCTATGGCCAGGTGAGTGGCAACAGGGGGGCAGGACCGGAAGATCCCAGGCTGCTGCTGGGTGCTACGTGGCTCTGCAGGCAGGGGAGGGAGGCCAGCAGCTGGGTGGATGGGGGGAGAGAGAGAGAGGGGGAGAGAACAAGGGGAAAGGTGCCCTGTTTTGTTTGCCCCTCGCCATGCTTTGTGCGTCCAGACGAGGAGGGACGTGGGCCGATGGTCCTCTCTGCCCGGGAAGCCTCTGCAGTTGGGACTTGCCTCTGGCTTTCTTGGCAGCCAGTGGGGCACCTGGGCATGGTGCTTCAGCCTTCCCCTTCTTGGCTCCTTGCCCCTTCTTGGCCTCCCTCTCCACTGAAACCGAGGGGAGCCATGGACGGTCCCCGAAAACCCAGACTGCCATCCCTGCAGCCTCCGTGGACCTTCCTCTTGGGGGTTTTGCCGTTTCGTTCCGATTCCGTCCTCCACCCACCCCCAGAGGCCGTCAGGGCCTGTGGCAACGTGCTTTGGGCTCTGGGGACGTGGGAGCAGCCTCCTCTTCCGTCCCTTTCGCAGAGCCTGGAAGCCCAAGCGGCTCGAAGAGGAAGAGGAAGAGCAACATTCCAAGGCTTTCCAGCTGCGCCTCTCTTGCCTCTGCTACTTGGCCAGCCACCCGGTCTGTCGGTTGGTCGTTGCTCAGTTCTCCTGCAGCAAGCTGCCTGATGAATTGAGGCTGGGGGAAGGGAGGAAGCCTTCTCCCCATTCGAATACAAAATGCAGCCCGCTTCCCTCCGCCTGTGGGAAGGCGGTTGTGCACCAGCGGCCTCAGCTGGGGGGGGGGGGGTGGAGAAAGGTTTCCGGGGCTCACTCCTGGGCAGCCTCACCGGATAGGTTGGGAAAGGCCCCCAGGCCCCCATCCTTGGGCCTGTTCTGAGCTGCGGCCTGCCAGTAGTTTGATTCAGGATGAGGAAACCTTCTGGAGCTCCAGGGGCCTTTCCAGAACAGCTGGACGGGTGGAGCTTTCGGGCCTGGCGGAGGACCGGTGGGAAAGGGAAGAGTGGCACCTACGCGGTTTCCTGGCGGTTTTCCTTTCAATTTCTCTCAGAATGCCCGGAGATTGTGGGACTAGACAC